CAATGTATTAAATTGGGGAGAGGGCAGTGTATTAAATTGGGGGAGTGGGCAGCGTAATAAATTGGGGGAAGAGCAATGTATTAAATAGAGGAGAGGGGGCGCAACACATTCAATTGGGGAAGGGCATTGTGTAATACACTGGGGGAGAGCAATGTATTAAATTGGGGAGAGGGAGTCGTGTACTAAATTAGGGGGAGGGGGGAGAGCAATGTATTAAATTGGGGGGAGTGAGGGGGAGGGTAGTGTATTAAATTGGGGGGAGGTCAGTGTATTTAATTGGGGAAATGAGGGGGAGGGCTGTGTATTACATTGGAGGAGGGCAGTGTATTTAATTGGGGGAATGGGGGAGAGAAGTATATTAAATTGGGGGGATGAATGGGAGGTCAGTGTAATAGATTGGGGAAAGCAGTGTTTAAAATTGGGGGGAGTGAGGGCAGTGTATTAAATTGGGGGTGTAGGGGCAGTGTATTGGTGGGAGGGGTGTTATGGGCAAATGCAAATATTACAAGTTTTAGAATGAAATGTTGTATTTCTTAAACTGTGTACTTTGTCTTTAAGAGATATTGCAAATTGACAAGGTGTTAGGAATGGAACATATTGTTTTTCATAGATGTTTATTTAAGCAATAACCTCATAATATGTTTGCGCCATTTTGTCCCAGATGAATTACAATAACAATAATGCATAAACAAGCGTCAAGGCTATACTACGACTCTTTCAGTACACAATATACTGTGGTAACCCCAAGTTAATGGAACTTCCCCAAATCCGGGAATCTCCCACGACTGTTCACTTACGTCTTAGTATAAACAACAGATAAGCTATTCAGACTTTAAGATGCCATCCTGAACTAAGTCAGGAACATTTCCATGACGCATACACCCTTTAGTTATGGCCTTGTATGTTTGCCAAGTTAAGGGAGGTCCTAAAATGAATAAAGTAAAAGAAGTGTTACTTTTTCATATATGAATTACAGTAACCATAAAATGGAGACACCTAAGGTATAAACAGGTGTACTTTTAAATGTTAAGACACAGAGGAGAGACTTGGCTGCTCCATCTTAAAATGACAGAGAGGCTGACATGATGACATGTTTAGAAGAGTATGTTAACCTATTAATGATATTTGCAAGCATTTAATTTAATCTTATAAACTCTGCTATATGGATTTTATATGTCTATATTTATATTTTTATATAATAAATATCTAAAAGACAAAACTATTGCTTCCAAGACAATCCTTATTTTATATTGTATTCTCAATTATTTATATATGTTAAATAGAGGATCTCTTACTAACTATATAAAATTATGGCTAAGATATCTGTATGGTTAGCCCCACTAAGTTCTATGCTTTAAGACATTATAGTGGTAAATAAGGGAACCAGCCGTGGTTACAGGGGGGCTGTGTATTGAATTGGGGAGAGGGAACGGAGGCAGTATTTTCGATTGGGGGAGTGGGCAGTGTATTAAATTGGGAGGAAGGGCAGTGCATTAAATTTGGGAAAGGAAGTGGGGGCAGTGTATTGAATTGGGGGGAAAGGGAAGGGAAGAGGGGGGCAGTGTATTAGAGTGGAGGGACGGGGTGAGGGGCAGTGTATTAGTTTGCATGCTGTTGGGCTGGTATACAATTATTTCCAGGGCTGGTTTTCATTCCAGTCCAGCCCTGGGCATGTATAGCTTCCGATGACACTGGGTCAGTTGTGTACATTGACGATGGGACAAAAGACAGAAGCAGCCACATGAACTCTGAAGTGTATAGCGATATATTGTTCACTCAGAGTCATCCAAATTCAGCAAAGTTGATTGAACGGCACTTTATTTTACAAATGGATCGTGATCGAAAACATACTGTAATAGCAACCCTCGAGTTTTTTAAGGCAAAGAAGTGGAATATCAGTATGAAAAAAGAGAGAGACTGTGTGTATCGATCTCACACAATGTGGGAATCGAACGCACAGAGGTCAGCATGGTGGTTCCAGATCCACCAAAAGGGGCTTGTACTCTAAATATTGTAAAGAAACAAAAATAATAAGTTAGAGTCTCCAGGAAGAGAGGCTCAAATCTGGTTTTGAAAAAAGTCAAGGACAATAATGATTACAAATATATACTATAGGTAAATGGTAAATCAGCACAGAGTGGTAGTGGGGGTGACCTAACCTAATTGATCACATATAACCTTTCCAAAGAGGTGCCAAAATTAATAGATGCTTTATTATGTGGAAAAGAGGCACTATAGCTGGAACAAATTCAGTGAAGAAAAAAAGGACAATGATAGTGTATATAAAGGGATAAAGTATAGAGCATAGTGCAGTTAAACATAAAATAGAGGTAATCCACACCAATAAAGAAATTGGCTGGTAAAAGAAAAACTGCTAAATGGTAATAGTACACATATCAAAGTCTATTCAGGAGGTCATGGACTCATATAATTAAAGGACGCTGTAAGGGTTAAATAGGAAAGGGAGGCTCCAGACAAAGTACTGAGGTGCTACAAACCCTGTCAGCTCCTAAATAGAACACCTTAAGGGGTGTATAAAGCTGTCCTAATGAGGCTCCAAAAACCCACTTAGCAAATTGAAAGAAGTAAACTGACTGCTCTTGAATCGGACACCTTAAGAGATCCCCTTGTATACTAGAACAGGCTCCAAAAACAAATAGAACAAAGCTAAACAGCTCTGTCAGCTCCTGAGACAAACACCTTCGAGGGTATTCTATACTGTCCCTAATAAATGGAGAAACTTCTCTCAAAACATCCCCCAAAAACTAAATAAACTCCGGCCTGAAAGAAAAGAATATAGAAGTGCTAAACACCTAGTGCTACCATTAGTGAAAAAGAACACAAAACAAAGAACCCGACGCGCGTTTCGGTGCGTGGAGGTTGCACCTTCGTCAGAGGCTAAAAATACCTTTGTGACTGTGATGGTTTTTAAAAGATCCAGGGGCCAATCCGTGGAGTCCCATAATCAGCTGGGGATTCTTATCACGTGAGTGGGGAGGCATGGAATAGGCGGGGAAAAAAAAAAGAAGTGGAATAGTCTGCAATGGCCACCACATGAACTCAACCCAATTGAGCATGAATTTCATGTAATGTAGAAAGACCCATGAACAAACAACAACTAAAGACAGCTGCAGTAAAGACCTAGCAGAGCATCACAAAGGAAAAAACCCGGCATATGGTTATGTCCATACACTCCAGACTTCAATAAGTTATTGCCTGCAAAGGATTCTCAACAAAATATTTAAAAACATACATTGTATTTGTGATTGTGCTCATTTGTCCAATTACATTTGGGGTACAGTGTATGAAAATGGTTGCAATTCTTAAATGTTTCATACAATATTTTTTTTCAACCCCTTGAATTAAAGCTGAAAGTGTTCACTTCAATTGCTATTGTTTCATTTCAAATCCATGGTAGTGCCATACAGAGCCAAAAAATGAAAATTGTGTCAGTGTCCAAATGTTACTTGACCTAACTGTTTATAGATTAGAATTACTTACTTACTGAAAAAAGAATGATTGTTCCTTCCCCAGCAGCTCTCTTCTATTCTTAGCAGGTGGGGTAGAGCCAAATCATTTATCTCCGATGGAATTAGCTGTTGCATCCAACAGCATGTTGACTAAATGGAGGTTGGGGAGAATTTATCCATGCAAAAACATGAAGACCAACTGAATGTCTCTTAACATGTTTGGACTGCCAAGATTAAAAATTATTCAATTACCTTTTCACAACACAAACTTGCTAGCAATTTGGCTAGAAAAATGTATTGATTACATTTAATAAAGTGAGACCAAGTCACATTAGTAATGCCAGATACATTTTCTATTTATAAATACAATTTGTTTAAAATGTACATGCATCAAAACTGTCTTACTCCTTCTTTCTGCATCTTGGTGGTCCACATATCTGATCAGCAGAGTGAAGATAACAATATTTGTATTATTAACACACTAGGCAAGCCTACCTTAACCAAATATTTAAGTTGGAGAGTACTAAATACACTTGTCTGTGTGACATGTATTAAATTCACATTAATAATAATAATAATATTTAATAATAGCAATAATTTTATAACATGACAGGAGGCTTCATATTTGCTTCAGTCTCTCTTTACTAGAACTCCACAGCAGCACAAAAAAACAAACAATCAGAAAAAAGTTAGTTACTATAAAACTCCCCTCCCCATGCATCATTTCCTCTTTCTTTGCTGCTCCGCAGTCAGTACAGGTCAGAGTACCACTGCCTCCTGCTTATAGTGGGTGGCTTTGGGATTGTATTGCTTATATTCAGTATTTTAGCCTTATAAATGCAGTATTGTTATAATCCTTGTTTGATTTTAATCCTGTATGCTGTATTGTTATAATCCATGTGGGATTGTATTTTTATAATGCAGTATTGTCATAATCCATGTGGGATTTTATTTTTATAATGCAGTATTGTTAGAATCCATGTGGGATTTTATTTTTATAATGCAGTATTGTTATAGTCCATGTGGGATTTTATTTTTATAATGCAGTATTGCTATAGTCCATGTGGGATTTTATTTTTATAATGCAGTACTGTTAGAATCCTTGTGGGATTTTATTCTTATAATGCAGTTTTGTTATAATCCTTGAGGATTTTTTTTTATAATACAATATTGTTATGTTCCTTGTGGGATTTATTTCTTCATATTTAGTATTTTATTTTCCCTTGTGGGATTTTTATGCTTTTATATTGAATATCTTTTCAGAATTTTTTATTTAGGCCTTGTGGGATTCATTTTATATGCAGTATTACCTTGGCCATGTGTAAATTTTCCTTACACATGCAGTTTTGTTAAAACCCCTGTGGGACTTTATTTTTACTTGAAACTTCAGGCTACCACTGTCAAATACATATTTAGTTTGGATTTCTGGGGGGTCCTTGGGGCCCCCTCTATCCCCTTGGCCTTGTCCCCCCTGTCCATCTCCCAACTTTGTGTATGCTCGTTGTTATATTTTTTGTTCCGCCTTTGTCCTTATGTCTGGCTGTGTCTGTGTGCGCTGCTCGGGGACTTCAGGAGGCTGACTGCATCTGCCTTCTTCGATCCCCGAGCTCCGGGACCGCAGAGTTCATCTTCGGCGGTCCTGTGTGTGTTTTTTCCGGTCGCAGGGGAGCTCGAGACGAGTACCCGGCGGCCGGATCTCCTTCCCCTCATGGCCGCTTCGCTGTGGCCGGCTCCGCCCGCGGACCGCGTGTGTCCGACCGGGCGGGGGAGGGTGCGACCGCTCGCAGCCTCTACCCCATCTGTTCCTAACTGGTTGGAGGTCTGTTTGAGGGGCTTTCCTCCCCTCTGTCAATCAAGGCCGGATTCCGATCACGGCAGGAGTTTTTTTATATCCAGCCCTTCCCCCTGCTCAGGGTTAATCTATAACCCAAGATGACTCCACATTTATATAATTTTATATAAATATTTTGCTGGGCTGGAGAATAGGCTTTAGGCAGTACACCCTGTACTGCTCTAAGATGCCTGCAGTTTGGTTTTCTGCCTTTGGCCAAACATTAAAGTCTGCCAGTTCCCTGTATAGTGGTATAGCACTTTATCACTAGTAGCTGTAACATCTGTGATATTAAACTGGAGACATTGTAGCAACTTAATCCAGAGGTATTATGTAAAAATACTGTTATAATCACATTACTACCCTGCTAGTGGGTTTTACATATTGAAATTAATTAACCCAAGGTTTGCCTGTTTCATTACGCACATATATATATAGTGGACTCTACACACGCAGATGGGCCCTACGGCTGTTGGAACGCTATCACAGGCCTGCTCTGTCTGTGCCCCTTTCATTGGCCTGCTATGTCTGTGCCCCTTTGATTGGCCTGCTATGTCTGTGCCCCGTTGATTGGCCTGCTATGTCTGTGCCCCTTTGATTGGCCTGCTATGTCTGTGCCCTATTGACTGGCCTGCTATGTCTGTGCCCCTTTGATTGGCCTCCTATGTCTGTGCTCCATTGGTTGGCCTGCTATGTCTGTGCCCCATTGATTGGCCTGCTATGTCTGTGCCTATTTGATTGGCCAACTATTCTGTGCCAATTAGTTTGGCCTGCTGGGCCTGTGCCCTTCTGATGGGCCTGTTCTATCGGAGCCGACCCCCTTTTGGCCACAGGCCTGGGGGAATATCACTGAGGAAAACCCAGTACCTACTAGTGACATGGAGATAGGCAGGTGTCCAGGCAAGCACCGTTGCCATACTATCCAAGAGGACGCCAGTATACGGCCACCTGAGTATGGTGGGAAGGGTGAAGGCCCTAAACCTCATGCCTGAACGGCAAGGTTTCTTATGAAGACCCCGGGCACGCATCCACGGTTTACACTAGCCCGGCAACGGCACATCTCCAAGGAGAACTTCGCACAGGCAGGGACCAGTACTCAGACGCCTACAGGGGGACTAACCCTCTAACTGCCTCCCGAGATCCATCTATATATCGGTAGTTATTTCTGCGTAAGGTTATCTTCTGGCCCTGTTCAGTGGGGCTTACTTGACTTGCCTTCCGGCCTGCTATTTGCCTTCTATCCGAGTAAGAATTTACGTATTTACCCTTATCTACATTTCTTATGTTTTTGTTTTCATGCCTTCCTTTTCCTGACTTGACCTCCTCCGACCTCCCGGGCGCTCGTGGATTGCGGAGAATGTCTCCAGCTTTCCTCAGGCTATCGACGGTCATCCTGGACCCCGCGCGCGCACACGGGATCCGGGCGGTCAGTTGGTAGTTTCCATCATTGTTTCTGTTATTAAGAATGGACATGGCCCGAGGTTGTATACTATCCCATCTGCCATAGGTCTGGTTTACTACCAGATAATTCCATTTCAGGTGAGCGATTCAGAGAGAGGTCTCGTGGTCGGGGAGAGACCCACCTAAGGATCTCAATCTTATGCTAACATTAGTAATTGGTGCACCCCTGCAGTTGGTCACCCTGAGTCTAGTTTGGATCACAAGAGGGTGTGGCCCTCCATCACCTCGATCCGAAAATGATATTTTATTTTCAGAACAGAGAGAGAACCCCTCTCATATACAGAACCGGTCACGAATGTAGACTCTACTGTTTGGTTATTAACGGGTGCGGCCTGCTCAGGCTATCAGCCGGACGCTGACACGGAATTCAGTCACATTATTAGAGAGCGCGGCTCTCTCATACACTACGGTGCCGTCCATTTGTTCATCACACGGCTTGTACCTGTACAAGACCTCGATGACTGCATAGAGGGGCGTCCCTCCTGCATTCAATTAGATCTAACGACCGTGCTATTGATTTCGTTATAGAGGGCTGCCTGATCATGCAGGATATACATATTTAGACTGGATCCCTCTATTTTATCTCCTGTAATGGATCTACTGGATCTGGACCACTGTACCACACGCGAGAAATACTTACAGAGGTATAACGGGGGAGACTCCCACTTATTTACACACACTCCTGGAGACGGTACGGTTAACGGGTGAGCCTCAGGTATTAAAAAAGTGCAGGTTTTGGTATATTCGGCGCTATATAAAACAGAGAATTGCATTCTGTTTTGGATATCCAGACCATTGCGAACAAACTGCGCAGACAGTTTTCCCATATCAAGATGACATGAGATACGGAGACCTTCATGGAGCAAACAGGCACTGCCTTGCTCGGGTAACAAGACTACTACCTGGTCTGAAAGTACACCATACGCATGGATCGCATCGTAAGACCGGAAACCCCGGTTGTCTTGTGTTCCCTGGTCATTACAATCTTGGGATAAGGTGGCAGGACTGCCCCTACTCCTCTGAGCACATACCTGGAGAACATGGTTCGGAGATGGAGGGCCCTCCGTCTAAACTCTATATATCCCTCATGGGAGCCGTTTTGGTTTGGGTTCGCACTAACCCATCTTTTCAGCTACCATCAAGGAGACCTGCGAGACTCTATGGAGAAAACTGGTGTGCCTCGACTCCTACACAGATGTCAAAGTTGGGTCACAACCTACCACTGGAGTACGGCTCAGGATGTGTAGCTGACTCAGATAGGGCTGCCGACATTCTCAAACGGGACAACACATGTTTCGGACAGCTGAAGCTAGACCCTTCTTTTTTCGCTATATCTACTCTCTGGAGTCACCTGTCATGAGCGAAGGGACTTTACGCCTTGCCTGCGTATTGGAGAATGCTATGTGTTCACGGGACTCCAAGCTAAGAAGGGAGGTATCCCTCTATAGGGAGACTTTTACTTCAATTATCCAAATCACATTCCTGGGTCCCTTGACCTAGGGCCTACTCTGGGAGATACGTGCCCAGACAGTCAGGGGTACAGGGACCTAAGGGTCTCACTATATTATACCCTATCTTTTAGGTGGCGTGTATACCAGGAACCCCTACACAAATTTTGACAGGTCGGGCATGGAACAGGATCGTACGACGGGTAGTCGGACTATTTCACTCTCTCACTACAGCACGTGAGGACTCTTCATTGTTATACAGGTCCCAATTGCCATTGGATCCGTACATCTTATCACTCTTAGACGTTGACATCTGGATGGGAATCTCAACTCCGGTTTACGTTTCCCATCCCTTTGATTATTTCCGGGACCCGCTATTTCCAGAATAGTTGACCACCGTTCCACCACATAAGTTCAGTTTGGAACCCTGATTGGACGTCCTTTTTGGAGTCCTTTCTCTACCGCAGCCGTGGATAACACAGTGCAGTTGGAATATTGGAATCACTTGGGATAGAGCTAGTTTGCCACACTCTTGCCTGCATAATAAATGTATTCTCGGATGAGACATCTCCCCGGGTAGGCCATCAGGGAACAAAAAAATCCTACTCGGTTCTATTGCAGAATTGGTGGACTTAGGCGCATTCCTTGGGATTGAAGATCTGCCTGCAAGACCACATCGCCGGGTGACCCGGGCATGATCGGTGGAGCCACCTTATACATCAAGAAATGAGACATGGTCACTAAGTCCGCAAATGACCTTCGACATTTTATAACTACAGGGAAATGGCTAATAGGTCAGCTTGGCATCTCATGGAATGGCTGGTAGGAAACAGGTCGCAGCCCCATGTACAATGGATCTATCAGCGGATGGTGTTTTTTTCCGTATTTGGGATGCTTCGTCAACTGGCATCTTCACCGATCGGTCTATTGTCATTTATCGCAGTTGGAAAGTCCATTTAGGATTGCTCAGATAGCTCCCGGAATAGGTACCAGCGAAACAAACAGCGGTGGATTTGTTGACTGATCGTTAAAACAGCAAATATGAAGCCTCCTGTCATGTTATAAAATTGTAGATTATGCTAGCTTTAGTGTACCTATAATCTTAATTTTATTAATGACAGGAGGCGAGTATTTCCCACCCATTCTTATCCCTCCCTTGTTTAATTTTAATAGTTTGGATTAATCAGGTACGTATGCAACTCTGCTTGTTGTCTCTGCTACCTGTCTCCTGTTCTTATGTCTGTTTTTTCATAAGTAGGGTTGGGATATCTACATATTAAGGTACTTTTGGTTGCTACATTGGGTACCTACATGTTTATTCAGAGTACATTTCATTGGATAACCAACCTGTTCGATTCTGTTTTTCTCTCGTTTCAGTTTACAGTCCATCAACGCTATCTGGTTTGGCAGTTCTTCTCGGAAGGTGGACATCGTTGAATTCATCGTATCTAGGACTTTGTTTCTTCCTCATTATGTTTTCTGCCTTTTATTCTGTTTTTGTCGCATCTTGAAAGAGGAAATGATGCATGGGGAGGGGAGTTTTATAGTAACTAACTTTTTTCTGATTGGTTGTTTTTCTGTGCTGCTGTGGAGTTCTAGTAAAGAGAGACTTAAGCAAATACTCACCTCCTGTCATTAATAAAATTAAGATTATAGGTACACTAAAGCTAGCATAATCTACAATTATAATAATAACATTTTAACCAAATAAACATTTCTGGTGGGTGAGATATTGAACAATAGAGGTTTAGCAAAAGCCATATAAAAGCACATACATTGGAAACATAATTTTATAAACAACATAATACGTTATAATGTATCTCACAAAACAGTCTAAGACTTTGGCCACTTAGACCACTTGTAAGAATAAAGTGCGCTGTGCCTTTAAGACTCAAAATATTTATAAACCGTGAAAATAATTTGTGCAATATTGTGCAAATAAAGTGATCAAGTGCATCAATGTGCAACTCACTTAAACATATATATATATATGCAAATTGTGCAAACTAAATATTTCTTTGTGCAACCAAATATGTGCAAAGAGACAATACTTAGCTTTCCCAATTATGGAATATGCTTTAGGGCTTCTGTCAGCAATCCAATAT